TGGTAAGTACTTGTTGAATAAACGATTGAGTGACTACATTGTTGGTATCAGCCTCCCTATCCTTTCTCTCTCCTCTGCAGGCTCTATCCTTCCTATCAGCTACTATGTTACCTTCTCACCACCCAGTTTTTTAGACTCACATATCATCCTGCAAACGCAGGAAAGCCTTCCATCTTTTGTCCTAGGTGACATCAATCCAAATCTTTGCTTCCCCACAGGTAGTATGCAGTTTACGGAGAGACACCAGCTAATGATCTGCCTCCTATGTTTGAGGAAGAAGGACGGAGGGGTCCACAATGCCCGTCCTTCATTACAGACCTCAAACAGGCTCGTTCCCTTGCTGTTGCCTCTGAGGCTAGAGCTGGCCAAAGATGCTTCAGGGCAAATTAGCTCCCACCTTATAACTTTATACCATCTATAAAACCAGCGATTCTCATTTTAAGTCTCGCGGGATTTTACTAAATTTATTTGTTTGCAGATTCACCCCTAATGCCAATATGTTTCACATTATTTGTTTGTATTTGGCTGATTTACTCTTGTTTTAGTAGATGTTGAAATAATTGTGTGATTTACAGTTTTAAAAACCCGTATGTTTCTGACAGGAATCTATAGGATACAGAGGATTTGTGCTACACAGTTTCGTATTGCCTTTCTTGCTCAGAATGTGACTTCACACACAAACTGTAATACAATCAATGTGTTGTTACTGATTCTTTGTTACACAGGCCAGTCCTGTGGAGCATCTTCTAAGGTACATCATATTTCTTTAAAAATAAGAATATATGATTAACAGGTAGAATCCCTTCACACACACACACACACACACACATTGCGGATGATCACAGATCCTATGTTATAGAGAACAAAGCAGAGGGAGGAGGGAGGAGGTGAGAGTGGTCACCTGTAATATGACTTCTTCCCTACAATGACAGGAAACCAAGGTAATGACTTGACCAGTACATTTTAAAAGGGGTGAGTCTTGAGAATTCTAGAAAGAAATATCTGAAGTATACCTTGAGAGGAGCAATTCTTATTCCACTATCCGTTGGCTCACTTAACAAACACTGATTTGGAAGAAAGGGTTCTGATATGCGCCCATCATAACACGTTACTCTCCCGCCTATGTTATGTTTTCGGACGGCTAAGCAAACCTAAGTCATTTGAAGACTAAACTTTGAAGATCTGGGCTATTTTGTGCTCATCCCAAAAGTACAGCGTTTGTAGTCTTTCTGGAACATTTACTTGGAGCTGGTGATGCTGATCTGGAAGCTGAAGCTGAGTCGAGCCATTCACAAGGTCGTGGCCTCCTCCCTGCTTCAGTCTGGACTTGGTCTTTCCCCTTTCCCCTTTGCCATGTTTGAGCAACTACCTGTGGATACTTTCCCCTCAGTTAGGGCTAGCCTGGTGTCCGCTAAGCTGGAGGTATCCTGTTGTGTTTTCATCCATGGACACAAAAATGCCTACTACTTGATGGGACAAATTAGAAAAGAGTTTTTTTTTTCTTTTTCCTTTTCTTTCATTCACTCATTCTCCTTTTTTCCCATCAGACATTAAAATTCAACCCAGTCGTGATTCCCATTCAGAATCACTGATCTGCTGTAGCTTTAACTCAGACAGACCATGAATCATGGCAAAGGGATAGTCTTGTGTTTGTGCCAACACCCTGCCTGATCTACACAGGTTTCCAAGGAAGCTAGAAAGCAACCTAATCTATCAGATCGTTGTTATGATGTCCCCAATGTGACACTCATGATGTTCGGTTACATCCGTACCCAGGCTCTTTCTTGGAAAGAGGTGGCCTTCAATGTCGCGGTGACCAAGAGGAAGCCATGACCCGAAAGAGATCCCGTGTGACTACGGCTAAGTTACATACAAATAGAAAAGTATTCTCTTGATATATGAAGCATGCTGTAACAACATACCCCAGTGTTCATCCAGTGTCCCTAATATCCTAAATGATGTCAAAACAAAACAAAAAAAAAAGTGTGTAAAGCCCCAAACTTAGCCATAGGCAAATGTGAAGAGCTGGGTAGCTAACAGCTCTCCCCACAAGCATATGAAGTGACTTTAACCTGCTCCTGATCTCTTCTCTGCCTCCTCTACCTACCGTCTCTCTGGTCTGAGACCCCTCCCTCTGGTACGTTCAGGGTAAGGCTTTGTTCTCTACACCTTTCTTAACTTTATGCCAAGGAGTTAAACCAGTCTTTGAGCTCTGGCATCTGACCATCTCATACTGCAGCTGGAAATCCAGTCAAGTACACGGTCACTGTCTCTCCTCTGAGAGGGGTTGCCTGACTATTCGTCATAGTGGGTTCAGTGTAAGACTCTTTACAAGAAAGAGGAGGCAGGAAAGTCAGACATGGAGATGTGATTAAAGACGCAGATGGGCAGACATCTGGAAACACTACGGTGCCCACTTCTGAAGGTGGGGGTAGCGACCACAAGCCAAGGAATGCAGGCCACCTCAAGAAAGTGGAGGACTGTAGATTCGTTTCCAGAATGTCTGAAAGAAGTACAGTCCAGTCAATAGCCTGACCATCACACAGTGGGAATCCGTTATAAACTCCTGACATCTAGATTTTAAGACTTTCCATTTGCATTGTTTAAGTCATTGTCAGAAGCTTCATTACTACAGCGACAAGTAGCTCATAACTTTTTGTTGTTGTTGTTGTTGTTTTGGTTTTTGGGGTTTTTTTTTAGCTCATAACTTCTAATGTCAAAAAGTTAAAAAAAAAAAAAAAGAAACCTGTCAGCTCTTAGCAAATTGAGAATTCAAGGGTAGGTGCTATCACGCACACACCTTTGATCCCAGCAGAGGCAGATGCAAATGGATCTCTGTGAGTTCAGCATCATCCTGGTATGTATATATATATATATATTGAATTCTGGGACCAGCAGAGCTCTGTAGAGAGAATGTGTCTCAGGGAGAAAGAAAGGAAGAAAGAAAGAAAGAAAGAAAGAAAGAAAGAAAGAAAGAAAGAAAGAAAGAAAGAGAGACAGAGAGACAGAGAGGAAGGGAGAGAACAGAGAGGAAGGGAGAGAGAGAAAAAGAAAGAGAGAAAGAAACAAAGAAAGAAAGAAAGGAGGGAGGGAGGGAGGGAAGAAGGGAGGGAAGAAGGGAGGGAGAAAGCTGAGAATTCAGTCTGTGATGGTTTACTTTCTTTTTTAAGTAATTTTTTGAGATTATAATATAATTTTTTTTATCAATTCCCCATTCTCTTCCTTCCACTAAACCATCCTATGTACCCCTACCTTCCTCTCTTACAAGTTTATCCCCCTTTTTCTTAACTTTTGTGTGTATACGTTTCTAAATACATAAATACAACCTGCTTACTCTGTACAACGTTGCCTGCTTTCAGGTTCAGACACTTATTTTTTTTCAACATAAGGATTCTGAGGACAATGACCACTTAGAAGTTTTGTTTTAGTTTGAGAAAAGACGAGACCAAGTTTGGTTTGTATAGTATTTGAGCAGTGGTGGATGCATTATTCTGTTTTATAAAATAGTATTTTAAATCTAGTGGCTGTGGCCTTTCAGAAGTTTTGCACATGCATAATGCTGACCGCACTAGGAGGCGCCCAAAGGAAGGGGCTTCTGCCAAGGAAGTTGACCCCACGGTAATTCAGCCACTAAGGACTGTCTGTCTGCCCTGTACAGAAAGATCACAAGCCCAACCAAGGACACCAATGCTGACCTTCAAATTCAAAAAGCCACTTCAGAATGTGGTGACTGGTTTTCCCTTACAGTAACATTTAATATCGAATGACCATACTAACGTTTCCAGAAATTATAATCACATTCTCACCTATTCAGAGTCTTCCCATATGAATAGGCAGCTTCGCTTAGCTTTATTTTTATATTAAAAAAAAACCTCTTGATGGTTCAATTGCGTGACTGGGCAATCATTGTGGATAGGAAGAATAATTCCATTTAAGGAGAAAAGTAAGTTGTCCGGGATGGGGGCGAAGATTCATTGCCCCAGATGGTCTAAAGGGCACGCTAGCTAAAGAGTTGTTTTCTCTGAGAAATGAAGTGGATTTGGACCATGAGACAGTTTCAAACAGCTGATGTAGGCATATTCATGCAAAGCACGAGCCAAGCCACTCCGCCCTTACTGTGGATGGGAGATTTTATGTGCACCACCGCAAACTGGCACTGGGGACCTACTATTTCCAGACGTTAGTGCACACATCCTGTGTTACCTTGCAGAAGAAAAATGTATTGTTTCTCGGTTCTGGAGGGTGGAAGGCCAAGACTGAAGAGTCAGCATATAAGCAAACACATGTCAAGACTTTCTCCTAGATGGCTGTGGCTTGCTGATGGCATACACACCAAGACTTTCTCCTAGATGGCTGTGGCTTGCTGGTGGCCTGGACCAGTGTTTGGCAGGGGCTGTATTGTCTTCCTCTCTACCTTCATCTTTTTTAATCAGCCTCCTATATTTGTGTCTAACTAGCCACATTTTTTTTTTCGAGACAGGGTTTCTCCGTAGCTTTTTGGTTCCTGTCCTGGAACTAGCTCTTCTAGACCAGGCTGGCCTCGAACTCACAGAGATCCGCCTGCCTCTGCCTCTGCCTCCCGAGTTCTGGGATTAAAGGCGTGTGCCACCACCGCCCGGCTTAGCCACATTTTTATAAAGTTACCAGTAATACTGCATTAGAAGCCCTGGACTCTGGTCCAGGATGACCTCATATTAACTGTCTCCATCTCTGACAGCACCATCTCTAAATATGGCCACATCCAAATGGATTGGAACTTGGATCAAGAAACGAATTGGCGTGGCATAATTTAATGCATAGGGAGTTTGGTCCATTGAACAAATCTACCAGAAAAAAAAACAGAATAAAGCAGGTTCCCTTGTTTACCTCTCGAGGTGACTGAAAGAAGATCGCACTATTAGGAGGTGTGGCTTTGTTGGAGTAGCTATTGCTTCATTGGAGGAAGGAGTGTCACTGTGGGGGGGGGGGCAGGCTTTGAGGTCTCCCATGCTCCTGTTGCACTCAGTGCGGCACACACCTGCTTCTGCTGCCTGCCAATCAAGACGTAGAACTCTCACCCCCAGCACCATGTCTGCCTGCATGCCGCCATGTTTCCTCTCAGGACAATAATGGACTAAACCCCTGAAACTGTAAGCCAGCCAATGGTTCCCCAACATGTCCATGGTCATGGTGTCTCTTCACGGCAGTGGGAACCCTACCTAAGACACCTCTCCTCTCTACCAAGTGCACCGTCGTCTTCTTGCTTGGGCTAGTTCCTGCCGGTGCTGTAACACAATCTTTCTCTTCGTTTCCCCTCCTCTCCCAGGGGGTTTGGACAGAAGCAAGTTCTCCCGAATGGTTCATTTTTTTAAGACTAAAAACTTATCTAGCCCCGTATTCTCCATGAAGTCATCTGCAGAAAAGCCAGCAGGACCTGTGATTGGCATTTGATTTGTTCCTCTTTTCCTTTACTTAACTGAAGCCCTAGTGTACGTTCAGGAAATGTCTGTCTGACCGCTTTTCCTGCTCTAACTGGCCTTGGAGTTGTTAGCATGCTTGTCTTGTCTGCTGGGTTGGAGGCTCCTAGGATGTGAGGTTTCTATGATACTCACCTTTATCCATCCTTCCAATGGGTTCTTATCTGAGAACGAAACAAAGACAGTTAATCCAAACTAAAAAGGTATCTGAAATGTAACTTGGCATACCAAGAAAATGTGCTTTAAGTCACCCCGCTAAAACACAAGCAGAAGGTTAAGATGATCTGTCTGCCTGAAATTCCTACTTTGTTACGTTCACATTGAACAGCACGTTGTATGACTTTGTCTTTGAAACGTTTCTTAGAACTACCCTATGGATGGGAACTTGCAGGCAAGGGATGGAAACTCCATGTACTTAGGAGCTCTGTAAAAGAGAAAGGAAAGAAGTTCTCCCAGACCTTAATCTCAAACAGGCCCTTGCAGATAAGATTAGCTGCTTCTCTTGATCTTTAGAACAATGCTTCCTGCCAGAGACTTACTTTGCTTCCAAGTTCCTCCATGGTGGGTTGAGCTCACCTATAGAACTATGGGAGACTGTGTTCTCCAGCGAGGAGGGTGTATCCTTCATTCCCCTTTCCTGGGAGGATGTCCACTGTCGATAGTAATGTTGTTGCAGTATCAGAGACTACACAGTACCTGGACCCTGACAGTTGACACAGTATCTGCTTTGGCTCTGGAAGTTACATGTGTGCATCTATACACATATGTGGATTTGTCTATGTTGTATGTCAAGGCATGTTTTTGCCATGGGACACATGTAAGAGTCAGAGCACAATTTTCAGGTGTTTCCTCTCCTTTTGCCCTGAGGTTCCGGGAACTGAACGCAGGTCTTTGGACTTGCGGATAAACGTCTTTAACTGCTGAGGCATCTCCCCCACCCCGCTCTGGGTATTCGAACTGTATAATCAGATCAATTTTCTTTTCAGAGAAGGACGATTATACTGAAGTAGCTATTCTGTGGATTCCACCGACTAAAACGAAGCCACAACCAGATGAAAGAACTTCTCTGTCTGTGACAGGATATGGGCCCTCGGGGTAATGGCTGTGTTTAGTGGGGAGCAGTCAAGCCAGTTCCAGAAGTTTAGATTTGCTCAGAAGCAGAGCCCTGGGGGCAGATACCTGGGCTCAAGAATCAAGATCTTCCCTACTAAGCCAGTAGCTCCTAGGCTCAAAGTACCAACTCCGTGCCTGCTAAGTGAACAGATACTGAGATTCACGCACCAACTTTGCCCTTACCAGATGAGCAGTACCAACTCCATCGCTACTAAGTGAACAGATACCGAGATTCAAGTACCAACTTCACCCTTACCAAATGGGCAGTGCCAACTCTATCCCTTCCAAGGGCACAATGTATTAAAGGTGCTGGCAGTAATGTTTCCTTCCCCAAAAGCTTTCTGTAACAATGGAATAAAACGACAAACCCTCCGCACTCTAGAATCCCTACTCAGGCTACCTTAACGTTGACAGCTGCCGGGTTCTTGGTTGAATTCAGCTGCCTAACTACTACTATGCGTGGCTAGTTTGTTTCACTGCGTTAGGTATTTCTGACAAAGCCAGCTCTGTGGAGATGTAATTCACATCCTATATACTTCTTTCATTTAATGTGTAGTGGCTTTACCATAGGCACAAAGTTGTAGCCATGATTACAATCAAACTTCAGAGCACGTTTCTTTTTGTGTATAATAAATTATTGGGTGCTTTTGTGGTCTGCTTGTTTGCTTATTGGTGTTAAAGCAAAGTCTGACTATGTAGGTATGGCTGGCCTGGAACTCACAGAGAGTAGTCTGTCTCTGCCTCCTGTATAGGTGTGTGGGCCATCACACCATGCCTGACCAAATTAACCAATCATTTTTAGGAGTTGTTTTCATTTTATGGTTTAGAATTCTCCCCACTTTATGTTTTGAATAGTGGCCTAATTATTATTTTTTTCAACAGCTAAGTTGATTGCTTTTCTCTGAAAACAGAATGTTTCCTTATACCCAGTAGACATATTTTAGAGGGCTTGGGTGAGGATTGCATACTGCTCCTTACTGCTGGTTGGGTTAAAAGTAATCTCATAAACAGTGACCATTACCCATTTGAAACACGGAAGGTCTGGAGAACAGCCCTGGACAGGAAGCGCTGAGAAGTATTCTGCGATTAAGGGAGTTCACCGACGTTCATTTGACGACTAAGTACAGACTGACCCAAACCAGCCTCTCGCGGCTTGGCACTCGAGACCAAGGGTTCAGTGGTGGCTGGAACACAAGTGGGAGCACCTGGGCAGGAAATGAAACTCCACGCCACCATCCCGAAGGCGAAGTGGGCTAGGCTGAAAATAAGACCAACTGGCAAACGAAGAACAGTGGGATTGTTTCGCAAACTTGCTGAGGTCCGAGTTAGTTCAGAACACCCACAAACACAAGCCTGTCTGTACCCCACGTCTACAAACTGGAAACACATGAGACTTTGGGTTTCTCTTAAAGTCGGTATGCTCCTAACAGACTAAATATGCATGCTATGAAGAGCGTCCAGAAGTTTCTTTGGACTACTTCGGAACCAGCTGCGTGAATATTTCTTGCGTTGGCTGCCTGCCCGGCTCTACTTCTTTGCAAGAAAGACCAAAGGATTTTTTTTTCACTCCTTGTATCTCATGTGGGTCGATGGAAAAACATTTCTGAAATTCAATGTTTCGACCATGGCTGTGACTCCCAGGAGCTAAAAATACATTGCCAGGCTATTTTTCTCTTCTGATAGATTCCTGTTTACTCAGTATTCAGTATGCCTCTCACCCTCGCTGGGGTAGCTATTATCACAAGACAGACAGTGAGGCGCTGCAAGACGGCCCTGCAGGGGAGGCAAACCACTTCTGCTCAAGCCTGAGGACTTGGGTTCGATTCTTAAAGCCTCTGTAAGGTTAAGAAATGAGCTCCCCAAAGCTGTCCTCTGACTTCCACATGCACACCCGGGAGATCTCTCTCCTCACCAAGAACATACACAATAAAAATAAAAACCAAAACCAAAATAAACAAATAAAATAGAAAGTGAGAAATATTGGCCAGGATATGTAAATGCTGGAACCTTTTTGCACTGCCTTGGGGAATGAAAAAAAAAACAGTGAGGTTACAGAAGAAAACAACAAGGGACAGACATCATGTAGCTTGACAATCCTAGTACTTACTGGGTATGCACAGGAAGGCACAGAGCAGCAAGCGGCTCCAGCTTAACCTTCCACCCACATTTATAGCAGGTGGAACCAGCCCACACGTTCACTGATTGGGAAGCTGGTCAACAAGAGATGTGTGGATACCCCAAAATGGTGGGATTCAGCCTGAAAGAGAAAGAACATTCTGATGGATGGTAAAACGCGGCTGAAACCAGGAAGATGCGCCATGTCAAAGAAGCAGGGTCTAAGAAAGACAATTACTAGATAGTTCCACTTGTTCAAGTACCGATAATGTCTGACTCATTGGGATAGACGTTACAGCGACCATTACCAGGACCGAGGTGCTGACACGCTGAGCTGTTAGCGTCTAATTCACAGACAGAGTGGCGTCCTAAGGAAGATGAGACTGTTTGGGAGACCTGGTGGAGGTGATGATGGCACCACAGTGTCTCTGTACTTTATGTCACAGAGCTATTACTAATTAATATTATATTAATTAATTAATTATACTTAATTTTTAAAATAAATACATATCTAAAACTTTATCAAATAAAACAAAGATCAAATAGTTGAAAAATACTCTTTTGTGGTACTTAATGGAACATTAAAATTCATGAAAAGGTCCTTTTTTTTTTCCCTGATAGGATCTTGTATTAGTTACTTTCTATGGCTATGGTAAAGCCACCATGACCAAGGCAACCCCTAAAAGAAAGTGTTTATTGAATTGAGCTTACAGTTCCAGGGGACTAAAGTCCATAATGATGGAGATATAGGCATGGAAGCAGGCATCTGGGGCAAACCGAGAGCCCACAGCCTGATCCACAAGCAGGAGGCAGATCACAAGATGACCTCAAAATGCCTCAAAATGGCGTGCAGTCTTCTGAAAGTCCACCCACACCGTCCCGCTCTCTCCCGCAAGGCCACGCCTCCTAATCCTCACCAAAGGACCACCAACTGAGGATTCAGAAGACTTGTGGGGAGCATGTCATTCCAACTACCACAGAACCACGCTGTCAGGCTAGTCCAATAATGAATAAATCTATTGTGTGAGTCAAAGCGTGGTTTTGCCATGGAACACACGGGGAAGTAATAGCGTATTTTTTCAAAAGTGGTTCTTTGCTTCTGCCCTGTGGTTTTGAGGACTGAAGACAGGTTTGGGGCTTAGGAATAAATGTCTTTGCCTGCTCAAGCATGCAACCCACCCAGATGTGGATAGATTGCAATGTATTAAAAAAATAAATAAATACAGTTAGGAGAATGAGAAATATCCTGAAAAGCTACAAAGGAACTTGTCTGCACATTTTACAAAGTTAGAATTGATCCCGAGCTATAAATTTCTAGATCTTGGGAAGTACAAGATAATAAAGCCAAGAAGACATTTTGTTGTGAAGGGGGTAATAAAGCCAAGAAATCATTTGCATGTGAAGTGGGCATTCAGTAAGTTACTGATTAGCAAGCTCTCGTTTTTTTGCTACGTATTATTTTAAGCTCTTTGTATACATTGACACGTGAGCCTTGAAAAACACCACCAGGAAAAATCTCCCTGGTTTTGCATATGGACAATCAGGTTTGTCCAGTTGTTAAGCAACAGAGCCAGAATTTGGACCCAGCAAGTCTGACTCCAAGATCTTGTCTTTTAATCATTCTACAGTATTTTAAGCCACCAAGCACTCAAACACAGACAACTGACCAAAGCCGGGCCTCATTTTTTATATGGTAGAGCTTAATTCTAGATAGTTTAAAAACACATGAATAAAACCAAAAAGCACCAGGTAGAAATATATTAAGGCTTAAATTTTTTTGTCCTTTAACAATGTCAACCATGTTACAAAGTATTCTGGCCATCACCCAGCTCTGTTTCTACTCCGAATTGCACCCACTGAACCTCTTTGACTTTTAAAAGTCTCAGTGTGACAAAGCCTCTACATAGATCACACAGAGGATTACAAGTCACAGATCAGCCTGGAGCACCTAGCAAGATCCTGTCTCAAAACAGCCAGCGAAGAAGACTTACAGACTGACCAGGTTCCGCAGCATTTAAAACCGTCATTAAAGTCACATAAGCAAGGAAGTAAAGTCATAATCACAGTGCATAGAACAGGTCTCCAGAAAACAGAAATATATATACATATATATACATATACGTATACATATACATATACATATATATATCAACCAGAGGACCATAAACAAGCCTAAGGAAACATGCAGAACATTTCATAAAAATGATAAAAAACGGCCAGGTGTGTTGGCACACATGCCTTGAATCCCAGCCCGTGGGAGGCAAAGGCAGGCAGATCTCTGTGTGTGCAAGGCCAGCGTGTTTCACATAGGAAGTTCCAGGCAAGCCAGGACTACATAGTGAGACTATCTGGGGGCAAAGGGTAGGAGGGGATGTAGGATAAGAGATATAAAAAGATGTTTAAATTGACAATGTACTAAGGACGTTCACATTTGAATGAAAACCCATGCTCATTCATCTCACTGGCAGAGATATAGCTAATTGGTAAAATCCAGTGTTGGCAAAGCTGTAGAAAAAGGGCGGTGGTGGCGCACGCCTTTAATCCCAGCACTCGGGAGGCAGAGGCAGGCGGATCTCTGTGAGTTCGAGACCGGCCTGGTCTACAAGAGCTAGTTCCAGGACAGGCTCCAAAACCACAGAGAAACCTTGTCTCGAAAAACCAATAAAAAAAAAGAAAAAAAAAAGGGCTTTAGACTGAAGCTGAGTGATCACTTGTGAGCCCTTAGATTGGATGCAAGGTTTACAAAGTGAACATTAATAATAAAAATTTTATGAATGGACAGCTCTCCATTTTATTTTTGTTTGTTTGTTTATTTAAGAGAAGATGTAGAAAGACACACGGCACAGTTTCTCTGAAGAGACTCCTGGTTCTCCAGAATTTCATGTATAACATAGGAAGTCTTCTGAAGACTTTTTTTTTTTTTTTTTTTTTTGCAGAGATCACTGCCCACGTACCCAAAGCACTGTACACATAAAAATGTCATCATGGCCCTGACCAGAAGGGCAATGTAAGCTGAAAACAGCCCCTCTACTCTTTGGTCAAGAACTAACTAAACAAAATGGCAATGGACCGTAAAACTGATGACGTGTTGTCAGGGAATGACGCTGGTTCGGGGAAATACAATGGAAATGCTGGATAGCGGAGCATGGCCACAGAGGTCTAAGGCCGCAAGAAGAAACACGTGTGTACCTAGAAGGGCACTCCCTGCAATGTCCGTGGCATTCATTGCAATATGGAGAGATTTCCAATGATCTTTGCCGCCAAACAATGGAAGAGAACAGAATACGAAGACGTGGCATTTCACAAGCCCGTCTTTAAGCAAGATGCGGGGTCTCAGTGAATTAGGGCTGGTAGTGATGCGGGAATCCGATTTTGGCAAAGCGTGTCTTTTTTGGCTTGTTTGTTTGCTTGTTTTTAAACAGAGAGTGTATTTGCTTTCTAGAACTCTCCATTTCTACAGATGCAAACTAGAAACAAGAATAATTTGCCAGCCAAGTGGTGGTGGTGCAAACCTCTATCCAACACAAGGCCAGC